TATGAAAGGTTAACAATGTTAACTTTGTTATATATAGCAATTTCGTTTTATTTAAAAGAAAGAAAATAACAAAATATTCCAGACTGTATTTTATAGCTCTCCAGGCAAGTTTCTCTACTCTCCCCCCACCCCACTTCTGCCTGCCCCCCCCAACAGTTTATGACTTGAAGGAAAGTGTTGTGTGAAAGCTAACATTAAGGAAATCTTATTGTGGTTTTCACAGATCTGGCTGTCTTAATATTCTATCTCCCAAAATACGTATATATTATAACTTAGCTAGTGTTCCCGGCTTAGGAAGATTGACAATTTTCCCTTCTATTTAAGTGTCTTGGTAGACGTTTGGCAGGCTTTCTCATCTCTTTCTGTCTTCTAATTCTATAAAGAATACTGTGTGTATTAAATGTCAGTTCCATATTATTAATAGGGGTGAATAATAAAACTCATGAGACAAACTCAACATTTTAAAAAGCACTTTAGAATTTAGTGGGCCCAAGACTGTCTCACTCTCTAAAACGGGCATTGCCCTTAAATTAGAGAAACCCATAATATGAACCTCCACATTACAAATTGTCTTTAGGTGGCAATGAGCACAGGTGTTTCTAATATAAGCTAATTAGCAATAAACATGTCAAAACTTAAAAACTTGGAATTAGGCTTTGCAACCAAGCTGAATATTTATGCACATAACACTCTGAAAATAACCCGAATGTTAGGCATTATGTTATGGTATATCTCATAAAATATGGCAAAAAATGAGAAGTATTTTTTCTCATTGATCAATTTGTCTTCTTTTATTTGCTGAAAAAAAGATAAACTTGAAATGTCACAAAGCAAATAAAAGATTTAATACACTTGACTAATATATACTGTCTATTTGAGCTACAAAACTTCCAAGTACAACTATGAGTGAAAATTTATAGAGCGTCCTATTATTTCAGTAATCAGGTCAAATAAATGTCCTTAGACACTTCATTTTTTTGTGAATGATCTGTTGCTAGAGGAAATTGAAATCCCAACTAACCCTGCATGATAAATATGGGCACAGCAAATTTATTTTAAATGTCTATTTTAGAAGAAAGAGAAGTGGTCAATCCACACATATCATTATAATTATTAACTTACACTTGATTAATAACTCAATTTCTTTGCTTAAAGGTTGCATAACTTCCTCGATCAGCTAGCTATCATAAAATACTACAGTTATTGACGGAATTTTAAACATGTAGAATCCTTACGCCTTCTTTTCTTCCCCTATCTCCCCCCACCCACCCCAACACACCATTTCCCACTAGCCCCTCATCCTTTTTCTTCTCACTGGGATGTTCTACAAATTGTATTTGGGACTGCTGTTTTATTAGCTACTATCCAGGTCACTGAAAGAGCTATCTCATCAACACTATTAGACTAGTGGCTTATACAAATCAAAGTTTGGTCCTTAGCTCTGTACAGAAGTTCCAATCTATCCCAGAAGATCAATGGTGATCAATAATGAACTGCACGGCATAACTTTTGTCTATCTTATGACACAAGCAAGAGGTGATGTGATCATTTTATCACTTACAAAATATTGTGCCAACAACTTTGTGTTATTAATTTATTACATGCAAAAATTATTAAAGGATCATGCATACCTGTCACTTTGCGGTCATATGTATATGGAAGCAAAAGAGATATTTAAGCTGTATATGTACATATATACGCATACTTTTATGGATATTATTTTATTAAAGACGTAGGTACACGTTGCCCAACTTCCAGTTGATACGAAAGCATTAAAATGGAGGACAAGGCTGGATAATTTAAAATAGTACTATAATTTAATTTATGTATAACTATTTCTGATTTGCACACTGTATGAAATCCATAGTAAGAACATGAATCTCAGGGTAGCTTATGTTATAGAATGAAAAAAAAGTTGGTACAATTTTATGCATTAAGCCATTAAAGAGGTATCCATTTCTTTGCATTTAGCACTAGGATATAGTTTATGAAGGATGTCTACTGGAATTTTCATTCACTATTGTTTAGTTCAAGTAATGGATTAAGAAGTGAAACAAGTTATAAAAATAAAGAACTGAAGTTCTGAAGTCCCGTCCCTTAACTGCTGATCAGAGCTGAAAATAGATCTTTTTTTTTTCCTTCCCACTAATTGTATGAGTCTTGTTAATCCTTTTGAAATACACTTTAGAAAATGCAATAATACAGCCTAGAAAAGGTTCTTTAATTTGGGTCATTTTATGTTACTTGCAGTGGTGACAGGTGCTTAGCAACGCTTTTCTTGTGTCCCTTTTAAGGAAATGAATACCTGGAATACAGCATTTTAATCTGTCTCATAGCATTAATTATCAAGATCACTGTATTTAGACAGCAACTACTTTGCCACTTTTCTACATTCTTAAAGGGATGAAAACTGTGCTAAATGCAAAGGATGGTTTCAGATGAGGGATGTGCCCTCTTTCTATAGTGTTTTCTATAAATTAAGGAAGAAAAAGCTAACAGAAAATTGAGAACCTTTTTAAAAGCTAAGTTAAATGTTTAGACAAGGAATACAGATGATAGAAATGGGAGCCTGTATTAAATTGTTTGCCATTCTGTAAATCTTTGTGCAAAGATACAATCATGTTTTGCAACTCACCAGGCCACTAGTTCACTAGAAACATGGTACAATGCATGTTTCAGGAATTTAGAAATATATCTTAAAACTTAACTGTTATTTTGAACATAATCATTACATAAACAAAGACTATTGCTTTCACTGGTTTAGTTCTGTATTGAACCAACCACCATTCACACCTTTCTTAACTGCAGGAACAAGTTATTTACTTCATGTGTACTTTTGGAGCCATTTAAATTATTTCCTTTCCCCTAAGATTGGTCAGGTAGTTAAACGAAGCATTGTATAATCTACTAAATAGTTCTGAATTAAAAAGAAATCGCAGAGTTATGTTATGTGCACCCACATCTTACTAAGAGTCAATAAAATATCTGGAAGCCATTGATACTTCTGGGGATAAATCACGGAACCACAATGCCTTCTGTTTTCTATGATCACAATTCTCATTGTTGAACATGGTGACTTCTGCCTAACTTTTCCCTTGTCATTTACAAAATTCATTCTAAATCCCAAGCCCTGAAGGAAGATGCTTAAACATATCAACCATTCTCGAGCCTTCACAGCTAGTAAGACATCAAGTGACTCTTTGTCTAAAGGGCTTGCTAGCATACATCCTAAGTTTTCCCCTTAATACCTATGCAATTTTTTTAAAAAAAGCTTTAGCATATATGCCTAAAGAGGAACAAAGTTAACAGTATGTAACTATTTCTAAAAGTTATGTTAGTTTACCTCAGCATCTCACTGCAGAAAACACAATTCAGTATTAATTTGAAATGTGTAAAGCAAACTGTGCAGTAGAGTACAAAATAAGATGAAACCCTACCATTCTTCAAGCTTTTTAACTTCCTCTTGTTGATGCACCCCACCTGGGCTGCCTTGTACATTAGCTATTAGTTTCCCAGTTGAATACATGAGCTGAAAAACGAAAATGCATGGCACATGCATGTTGGCTACAATAATATTTTCACGATGTCTGAGGTAGGCTTAATAAGTTAGGTGAATTTCTGAAATACCTTTCTCTGATTTCTTTTTTTCAAGCCTTTCTTAAGGACTACTTGAACAATTAGTACACAGAGGTCTCTGGATGGCCCACTGAAACATTTAATGCTAGAGAACAAAAGGTTTATTTAAAAAATGAAAACCTTGGCTTGTACAACTCCAGACATGAATCTGCTTTCAATTACTGGAAGTATTTCCACTTCAGTGGAAAGGGATCAAATCTTCAACTACACCATCTTAAGGCACTGAATTTGATTATATTAAGCTTTAAGAATACAGAATGACTTTGTGACACAGCCATATATATTCTGTACATATGATTTATTAGACATTTTGGAAAGAAAAAAAGACCAGCATATGAGAGGGAGTGAAAAAATGTGACTTCTCACAGGCTATCTTTCTTACAGCTCCCACAAATCTTTGTTTCATTTTATTCGTTTACCTCCCTAAATGTTAAAAAAAAAATACCCAGCAAATCTTACAAATATCAAACCCAACTGCTTTCTCCTCCTACCTCCCCCCCACACCGTTAGTGAACAACCTGCATCAATGACACAATTGTAAAGTTGAATTGCTTTTATAGACTGCTCTTTAAATTCCTCCACTGACAAAAATCACACTAAGTATCTGAGGGAAAGGAGGAGGAAAAAAAAAAAAAAGAAAAAAAACCTGCTCTTTTAATTAGCAGGATTATTTGGTCCCCCCCACACAACCATAAAGCAATTAGTATGATGGATTTTTGCTAATGGAAGCAAACGGCTGATTAATTTAAGTCCAACGAACATTTTAAAACATTTCGAACGTAAAGTAGGGAAGAGGATAAAAAAAAAAGAAAAAAAAAAACTTCTTTCTCAGGTTCTGCCCCCGCCCACCCTGGATTCAATAAATCGCAATGCAAAAAAAAAAAAAAAAAAGTCACGGAATGCAGAGAAAAGAGAGCTGGACCCCGTGGGTCAGGAATGTCTACTACTCATAAAAATACAAAATAAATCACGTAATTTAAAAAAAAATCATCAGCCACAACACAAAAGCCTCCATTCTGCAGCAGAGCCCGGCTTGCAGGACATGTGAGCGAGAAAGTTAAAGCATTTACCTCTTCTAAATCCTTAATTTGGTCCCTCAGGGGTTAAAGAGCCACCTCATTTCAGATGCTAATGTTGCTTCTGCACCGATTCAAATCGCCCCGGAGCCTCCTCCCATTCCAACCGCACACACCGTGGAAAAGCACCGAAAACCAGCCCCGGAGTGGGAGCCAGCGAGAAACTGCGCCCCCGAATCCCTAGAAATGAATGCAGCGCGATGTGGGGGGAGGACAGAAAGACCGAAAGCATCCCACTTGATCCTGGCGCAGCAGTCAGGTCAAAGGGGCTGCTTTTGGGGCACCCACCTTTCCGCGGTGATTCTTCCGTCTGGATGGGAAGAGCAGAGCCCAGCGTTCCCAAGTTGAATCAGTCTATAATGTATCATGTTACAGAGTCTGGCTCTCTCCTCAGGCACATAACAGCAATCAGACATGATAGGCTGAGGCTCTTCTGTTTACACCCAGCCAGAGGAGGGGGCTGAGGCGGGCGGTCCTTAACCCGTTCACCACTGGGACGATCGGTCCTCGGCCGCCGGCTCCCTGACTCACTGCTGCCTCTGGCCAGAAGCCTCACTCAGCCCTTTACAAATCGACAAATACTCCGCCGCTTTCCAATGAGATTCCAAGAACAGCTTTCTCCTTCTCTCTCCTTCTCCCCTTCCATGGTCCCTGCTTTCCATATTTCCTCCAACACTTCATTCTGACCTACCCACTCTGGTTTCTGAATTTTTTAACAGCCATATATCCAAAGCACATAGTTTTATTTCATTTTGCAAAATGTATTAAGAATGGTTAGAGGCATGGCTTAATAAAGATCTTGATCAAAACCCCTTTAACCCTACCCCCATAAAATGGAAATTTTTCCAATGTGGGCTTTTGTTTTTGGTTTGGTTTTTTGGTTTTGTTTTTTTTTTTTTTTTTTGGTGCTGTAGATCTTAAAAAATGGATTTTCCCACTCTGTGGAAGCCCTACTTTCTGATTCTTACAAAGAGATCCTTTTCCCAGCAAATGAATCACGACCCCCCTGTTCTGCCATCCTTCATGCATCACACATCAGAGATGTTTACTTAATCTAAATCAGAGTTGTGGAACAGGCTTCCCTCATTCCAGTGAAATTAAATCCTCCAGCTCAAACGGAGCATTTTGCTTGTGAAAGATAGGTGCAGAGCTCGGGAATGGAAGAGGGAATCAATGAAAAAAAGGTTCAACTACGGATTGGAACCAGTAAGTTAGGTATACTCACCTCTGAAAAGAAATGAAACAGCTTCCACCTCGCAGATGTGCACATTGTGCTTCTGGGAAGTCTGGGGGAGTTTGGGGCTGTGCTAGGTCTTTTGATAAATTCCTAAGGGTCTATTCTTCCCCCACTGCGGTTGCAGACTTCCCATTAACACTAATGAGAGTTAGGCTTGTCCTCTGGGGAGAAAAAAAAAAAAAAAAAAACTCGTCCCTGGGGCTGGGAAGCATTGTAGGAGACCTTGCTGTCGTAAATTTGTAGCCCAAGATTCCATATCCTCTATTGCACAGATCTTGAATATCTAATTTCTGAATGCTACTTTTAAATTATATTTTATTTTTTTAAATGAAAGATGCTGACCCCATTAGGCTAGCATTTACAATTTTACAATTCTTTATGTCCTTTTTTTCTTCCTACAGACTCACTATTATATTTGCATTGCCACCCACCAAGTTCAGATGTATTCTTTCTTTTATATCGCTACAGCTTCCTTCTAGAACTCTCCATCCTTCTCTGACTTTAGACTTCATTAAAGAAAAAATTGAATGACTGTGTGCGTTTATTGACTAGATGGCTCCTCGTCCTCACCCCCATTGCAAGTAGTTATCCTATTAAACTGCTGAAAAGATGTCCTTTTTCATCCCCTCTTTTCTGAATTCCATTCGACAGTCTGCATGCCAGCAAATGGCATTCATTATTTGCAAAGCTAAAGAAAATATGGTGACTTCCCCACTTGCATGGTTGATTTTCCCCTCTCCATATGAGGAGTACAGTTTCATTATTTTACAAATAGAAAGCATCATATTCATTATTTTTTTTTTAAAGTATCACTGTTCTCATGGGTTTTTTCTTCTCCTTCTTCTGTTTCTTCTGCTGATGTTTGGCTGTGATCCTCTGTGAAGGCTGTACGTTTCAAATAGGGCCTTGTGGTTCCTGGAATTGTGGAGAGTAGCTCTAGCATTCTGCATCACACCTAAAGCTGTGGCCTGGTTTTGTCACAATCCCGGGCCCTGAATGTACCCCCTAGAGACCTGGACTTCTCTATAAGGGAAGCAGGGGTAGGATAGGATATCCCTTGTCATATGAAGCCTCACAGCAGTGTGGAGCTCCTGCTCCATGCCAGCCCCTCTCCACAGCCCTCTCTTTTCCCCTTTGTCCCACCCCCAAATCTAGTTTGGCCCTTGGTCCCCCAAAAGTGTATGTGGGGTGAAGATGCTTAGGCTGAGGTGCCATGGGACGTCTGGGAGACACAGGAGGGTCAATCTTAGGTATTGTCATTATTATCCTCTATGCAGGTTGGTTATAACAGTGACTTCACCTTAAAAAAAACCCTAAAAAACTGGCATTGTTTCTCAGGATACTAAAGGTCTTTTTTTTTTATTGGACTAAAACAAACTGAAAGTCTCAAAATCATACCTTAAAAAAAAAAAGAATGTTTCATGTCTTGTCTTCATTTGTTCCATGAGATCAGAAAGTTGCAATTAAATGATAGAGGGTCACATGCTCTTGGCTGTGAATCTAAATGCTTTTCTCATTTCCAAAAGGACTCAGAGTCTTCAAAGATTCTCCAATAATAGTAATTTCATTATCTTCTTTAGCAGATAACCTCAACCTTGACTTTTCCCAGTTTTGTTCACCTCATCTTTGATACTCTTCTCTTTCGATTCTCCTTGTCCCCACCGTTAGTTCTTTATAAGCTGACATTATGAAGATATGCATAGACAATACCAGTATCATTCAATCCTTTAAGCAAAGACTTGCTCTTCTTTTTAGCTTTCTTTCACTTCTCTAATTCTGGTTCCTCTAAAATAACAACTTTCATGACTATTATGTGCCATTGTTTTTACTTTATCCCCAAACCAGTTTAAAGACCAAATGTGAAGAATCATTATTCAGAAACTACTAGAGAAGAGATTAGACCCAACCTTAATGATTCATTTCCTTTCGTGTAAGTCCTACTCCTGATGGCTGATCCTGAAATGGAGGTGATGCTGAAGGCTATTTCAGCACAGTACAAGCTCTGGCAGGTATTACCAGCCTAGAAATACATTGAGTAAGGGCCCCAGTCACAGACTATATATCTGTTATTGGAGCACCAACCCTAAACTCCCTTCAGAGAGACCTATCCCCCAGCTTCTACCTGGAAATTCTATTTCTCAGCCACAGCACCTTACAAAGACAGTCTAATAAAGCACAGAGAGGTTGTAACAACAACAGCAACAACAAAAGTAGCAGTAGCAAATATTTATATAGCACCTTAAGACTTGCAAAGTGCTTTGTGATTTTCTTGGTAGAGATTTCAACTTTGCTGAAATCAAGCATTCTTGAGATATTGCAGTAATGATTTATCTAAGCAACATTTCATTTGGATAATACCTGGTGTAGAAAGTGCCATTGGATTACGTTATTCATTCATTTGGCACACATTCTAATTTAGAAATTATTTTTTTCTTTGCAAAAAAAATGGGGCTAGAAATATGTTTGGTAAGACCCTCTGAAGATTTCCAAGCATCTGGCCAAACATATTTCAAAGAGATTGTTTCATTGATCACTCTAATGCAGACTTCCATTATAGGTGGAAGATAGAAGCCTTAAAGTAATATGCAGAAACACTACAAATCTATTTAGGACAGAATATGAAGATGTTATCATTCAATTGAAATCTTAGGAGAATAAGATAAGCAGAGCATAATGGGAGATAATTGCATAATTAGAAGTTATCCAGGACGTTAGGGATAATATTTCTAATCTTGAAAACTATGCCACTGGATTTTTAATGACCTCTGGTCACATAAGAAGGGGAATCCTTACTCATCCCTAAGGCTAATCCCTATGCTTATGCCCTTGATCTATTCTGCATCCTCCTGGACCTTCTTCCAGAAGTCTCTGCCTTTTTTCTCATATATCTTCAATCTCTCTCCACTTGTCTCTTCTCATCTGTCAGAAGTCTTTCCTATCATAAGCAAAAAGACTTCTCTCTTTTCTATCCCATACAGCTGCTGTCCTCTCTTTCTCCATGCTTTTACTACTAAATTTCTTTAAAATGTTGCCAACATCCAATTCTCTTTTTCACCAACAATTTGGTGAATTCCTTGGAATCTGTCATCCACTTCTCTGTTAAAACTGTCTTTAAACTCACTAATGGCCTCAACTGCCAAATCTAATGCTACCTTCCCACCCGCATGCTCATCCCCCTTGACCAGTCTCTGCAGCAATTGACAATGCTTATTACCACCTCCTCTCCTGATTTTAATATCACTCTGCTCATTCTCTTCCTTTCCCACTAAATGTGATTTTTCTCTCTCTTTACTTATTCCATATATTTTCTGATACCTTAAATATGGTCATTACACCAAGCTTCTGTCCTTCGATCACTTCTCTTTTCTCTCTACATCCTGTCCCTTGCAAAGTCAATTTATTCCTCCAACTTCAACTACCACCTTTCTGTGATCTCTGGCATCTACTCCCTTTCTTCTCTTTTCCTACATACATTTCTCAAGTACAGGCCTTCATATCATCCATCTGGCCTTATTTCCCAAATTAATTTTTATTTCCATTTTTGTCTTCATGCAGCTCTCATTTCTAAATGCACCCCTCCAACTTCCTCTATCTAAGAAATCATTCCTTGTAACAGATAATTTTTTAAAAGAAGGAAGAAAGCAGTTGAGAAAAACTAACCATCACATCAATTGAGTCTAACAGGAAATGCAAGGCTCCACACCTAAGCTCTCCCACTCAGGCAAAGTAGGGAGGCCAAGATGTTTTCTCTTATCTACTCTCAGGCCCTCTTTTGTCCTTTTTCCTTTTTGTTCTTCCTATTTCTTTTGCCACAGGCATTAATTATGTAAGAGGCACCATGACTAGACAGTTGGTCTCCAAGTCAAGAAGACTTAGGTTCAAGCTTGTATATGCTTTATACCAGAAGTGTGACCCCAGGTCAAGTCACTTAACCTCTCAGTGGCAATTCACTTAGATGCCAAGCTTCAGAGAAGATGCTCATCTGCACTGGACCTCAACTATAGCAATGAAACCACAGGTTTAGCCCACCCAAAAGTAATTGGGTATGTTGTTTTCCCAGTTCTGCTCATTAATGCAGCTAGGTGTCATTGCGGATAGTGAA